CCTGAGGGGCTCCGCGCGGCCGGGCCCGAGGGGGCCGGAGCCCGCGGGAAGAGGCGGCTCCTGCGGCGTCCAGTCAGCCTAGCGGATTCTCTAAGGGAAGGAGCCCGCGTCCCGGGCCGGATCCGAGGCGGGAGAAGCGCGGCCAGGGCAGAGCCAGAGTCTCCGCAGCTACACGGAGCTGCAGGGCAGCGTCCGAAGGACTGGTGGCGCTATGCGGCTCTAGATTTATGTTATACTGTGATTTCTGTCCGTATCCCCGGGCTGCTCCCGGTGTCTCCTCGGTCGCCCCGCGCCCCCCGGCGGAGCGGAGGCCGAGACTCAGGCGGCTCCGTCCCGGCTCCGCCCGCCGGGACATCCCGGCCAGGCCCGGCCGGAGGATGGACGTACCCCCGACAGTTACTGTGTCTGAAATTGGGGAATGGTGGTTACCACACCTGGAAATGTAAAATTTAGTGGACTGCATAATTTGACCAGGATGCGAAGTCTTTGTGCTCCTAGGCAGAGGAGGTGCCTTACAAATTTCCATTGACACAAGTACAGGAAATTTCCTCGTTGCAGTAATCCGATCAATAACTTTTTTAAAAGTGAGACCTAACTTAAGTGTATTTCTGCTTACTTCCTACTCAGGCCATTTTAAAATTACCTAATTGGTATTAGGAAAGAGAAAACAGCATAGGTGTCAATACATGCAAAGGAAGAACGTTTAACATCTTGAAATTTTTATGCTTTAATATGGATCAAGTTCGTTTCTACAGTGCAGTAAGTCTTTGTAACAAGCCTTTTTCTTAAAAGTGGGCAGGTATGGCTCCATGTGCCTTTGCTGCAAGAGCTAGAAAGGATCAAGGTATCTCAAGTGATTCTGGAAATACTGAAAGGACTGAAAAGCAAGGGATGCTTGATGCTTGCTTTCTTGGAATAGCGTTTGCTAGTGTGATTTTCTTTTTTTATTATTAAAAAAATAAGTCCTTTTTATTTATTTTTTTTATTTTAAATAGAACATTAAAACATAAAGCTGAAGAACAAGTGTTGCTTACACAATGGTCTTCAGAGCAACTGGTGGTGACCATTTCTAGGTCACCATTTGAAATCACAAGTGATGCAACAAAACCAATTCAGTTTCCCATTTGGGGAAGGGTGAGGCATCATTATAAAAATCATTATAAAACAAGATGATTTTAGTAGGCTGGCTCTGCAGTGAGGGAAATCTCAGTGTACTGCAAAAAAATCATCCTGGGATTTGAATTTTTGTGTGTGGCTTGAAAATGCTTACACATGCCATTATTTTCAGAATGCCCTGCTTCATAGAACTAATTATTTGTCTTGCTATTTTTTCATACTGAATTAACATAAAAACTGTGGACAGCTGGGCCTTTCCCTGCAGCATGTGCTGACAGATTTTACTTTTTCAGGTTTTATTTTCTAAAAAACTTGTTGTTTTTTTTTTTCTTACCCTTAAGTAACAAAGTCTTGACTTTTATTTCTTCAACTTTTCTTGGCAGGTGGAATTTTTCTAGGTACTGTTGCTACAGCAGGAATGATAGCAGGTTTTGGCACTACACTTGCAATGACAAAAAAGAAGAACCCAGACTGGTTCAGTAAGGTTTGTTCCTTTAAGCTGTTTTCCAATAGTGATACGCAGGAAATAAGAATGCATTGAATGCTTTAGAGACATGGTTATATTGATATACGTGGAACTTGGCAGAATTGATGATAAGAGCACTAGACTTAATTGAATTCGGTACAGGCGTAGGATTAATTTAAAAATCAATTCAGAGTTGGCCCTGCTATACTTCAGTACTTGAGATTAGCTGAAATACATAATGCTTACACTGTTTGCTGGAGTCATACTTCTGTATACTGAAATACAGTTACTGATCTCTTTTGATTCTGTGATTTGAACACACTTTAGACATGAGCCTGCATCACTTCAGAGATCCAGTTCACCATGCAGTTTCGTAGTGCTGCAGTGAGTCTGGAACTGAGGTGCAATAAGGAAGGGGTAGAAGGTCTGTAAGCTGTGGAGTATGTAAGTGGGATCATTCAGTCAGAATTAAAGCTCTCCGTTCCCATCCCACTGTGTAAGGGAAAGGATGAGAATGAGTACTATGGGGCTGTGAGATCTCATGGCCAAAATGAATCTGAACTCAGGCAATTACTGACTGGATCCACTTGTGCATTCTGAAGAAAAGAACTGCTAAGCAGAGCTAGAAATTATACTGTGTTGGTGTATTAGTTTGAAACATAGCACATTTAATTGAAGGATGTTTTTTCCTCCCTAATACTTTGTTATTGCTGAAAATGTCAAAAGTAGGCCCTTAAAGTTGATCAGTCTCATCTCCACCAGGCTCTTAAAATGCAACATGTACTACAAATGTTCTTAGGGAATTAAGAACTGATCAATTGTGTTTATATTAAAAATGATGATTTGAGAAGATTCAAGTTTATTCAATGAAAATCAAGAGAAAATAATTCTTCCATTGTACTTTTTATCAGAACCTTCATTTCTGATCACTCGTAATCTCCCTTTCTGGTCAAAGAGCATGAGATCCTTCATTTGCTTTCCTATTTTCCTCTGTAGGCTGCTGTGTTGCAACTCATCCATTGGCTTTACAGAAACAATAAGCATGAGTTTTGTTTTTGAAATAGACAAAACAGAAAACTTCACGAGAAGTTATTTCACAAGCTGTGAAAATACCTTACAATAAGGAAATGGTCTCCTTTTATACCATCTCTTTTTTTAACTTCTTTTCTCTTGAGCACTGCAATTTTCTGGCTTGCACATATTCCTGGGTGTCTGAGCTGTCCTGTTATCAGTGTGAAATTTATCAAGAGTGACATTGCATTGACATCAGAGAACATATATGCTAGAAATGTCATCAAGTGGTACATACCATTTCAGTCTTTGCTAAAAACTGTATCTGCTGCTATTTGTGCAAAGGAGTTTCAACAGTTTGCTAACAAAAATCTGTGATTTCATGGGCACCTTGACTTCAGTACTCCAGAGTGTAGAGAGATACTTTTTTGTCAAGGTATTTGTCAGTGAGCAGTTTAAAAAAGGAAGGACTAGACTTTGAGAGTGGCTTAACTCTCTGTAGAAGCTCTCCAAGGTACCAATGAGATTTTTGCTTTAGCATTCTTAAATTTATAGTTACTTACTGGAAGTAACTTTTAATAATACATCATGTATAATAACAACTACAGAAGATTGCACCTTTTTTAGATGTTCAATGCCTAAATATTATTTTTTATCAATGTTAAGGTGAGGCCATAGTTTGACAGGTACTTAAAGCCAACATCAGCCAGCACCAGTGTTGAAAGAATTAATTCTATCAGTCCTCAGTTTCTGGCAATTTATTCCTGTTCAGTGAAGCCACCAGTACATGTGCTATTGGATTTGATTATATTTGATATATTTGATTATGTTTGATTATATTTGATATTGATATGATCCTGGTTAATTGATTTTTTTTTTGTTAAAATTAAATGCTCTGCTGCAGCAGCTTCCTTTTGAGAAGTGTCCAGTGTTACCAGCAATTATGCAGGTGTTTAATTTCACAATGGATTAGGTCACACAAAAGAGTGAAAACACTGAATACAATCAAACAAAACAGTTGAACACACTTTATTTTAGGCACTGCTTCCTTTTAGACACACTGTGCACACAAGGGGGCAGTTACACGATCAAGGCCTGTGTTTGAATAAAAAAACAGAGTGTGATTTTTTTTCCTTCTCCTGCTTCCTGTTTATATCTTGCAGAGGAAAACAAAACAACAACAACCAATGAAATTAAAAAAGCAGGATATATTTAGAAAACAAATCAGCTAATTCTGCCCTGTTTTTTTCTGGCCTGTTTTTGGAAAGACTCAATATTGTTTAAAAGCTTATTTCTTAAATTAAACAATGTTTTTTAAAAAATACAGAGCAGCAGTGATGAGAAAACAATATGAACATAGAATAACAGGTTACTGAATAAAACTCAATTCTCTTAAAAATGTTTTTTGCTGGTGTCATCCTTTTCTCCCATGCTACTGTTGTTCTTTAATTTTTTAGCAGCTTTCTTGACGTTCTGAGCAGTGTATCTGATAATCATTTAACCAACTGTCCTGTTTACAGAAACCCTTATCTGTGGTCTTAAGTATCCTGAGGAATCAGCCTGTGACTGAGCCCTGTTTGACTGCAGCCAGTAAAACCAGATCAGTTGTTTCCATTTACCGATATTTTTCTGGGACAATGAAGCATTTAAAAAGTAGTCAGTTGGGGTTTTTTGCCAGCAATTTTCACAGATAATGACTCCTATTTAAAGATTCTGTGTAGAGGATATTTTTGTCCATTCATTTCCCATCTTCCAAATGGCACCATTTTTTTCTCAGTGTTGTTATATATGATTAGACTATGGAAGCAGGAAAAATGTCGAAAGTAATCAGCATTTCAATACTCAAAGCTGTCTCTACTAAAAGAGTTATAATAGTTCATTATCTGTGGTAAGGAGATAATAGGACCTGATATTATAGCGTGACTAGAGATCTCTGCTGTTTGTGTGCATGTATGCTTACAGAGCATTGTTTCTCTTAACAGCTTCCACTTGGGATGTCCAAATTGGAATAAATAAGGGTCAAGTTACGTATTGCTTGTGCCCTTTCCAAGTCCGTGTTTGTCCTTGGGTAGCTGTGCCTATAGCTAAATCCCAAGGGAAAGTGTCAATGCTGAGGAATATCTGAGGATCATTTTAATACTATTTCAATAAGTAAAAAGCCAAGAGGAGAAAACTACTGGTGCTATTTGACTGACTATAGTGGTAGACATTAAGTATGTTTAATTTTATCAAAGAAGAAAGAGAAGCATTTAAAAATAAGTTAAAAATTTAAAGCTTTTTTTAAAAGCCAGAATACAAAATACTTTTTTGCCCCACTTTTTGTGATAAATAAAAAAGAACAGTTCTTTGGCATGTTTTGGAGAAAAGTTTTTTGATGCTTCCACAAGTTAATTTTGCTTTTCAGTATTTTAGACTGTAAATAAAATAATTTTTTGTAATTTTATATGTGTAATCTCATTTATGTTACCCCTGAGCAATACTTAGTTGTTCTTTTTTCCAAGATACCCAGTTAAGTAGAACTGTTGAGTTGTGTAAGGATCATAAATACCAATCTTATTAGCAGTTACCATCTGAAATCTGTGTTTGCATGTGAACAATTGAACAGTGATCCTGTGGAGGGGAGAAAAATCCTCTGAATGGTAGTTGGCACTATGAGCAGGAGAATTCTGTCTGTGTCACTGCTGCTGTGGGTTACACAGGTTGAAGCTTTGCTGTGCCAAATAGGTGCAGTACAGTGGGCATTGTGAGGTGAGAATGGCTGGCTAGCAGTGAGGTGGGGTGCACATGGATTGATGGTGTCCCTGGAAGCTGCAGTGTCCATTTATGTGTTGTGGTAGAGAACACATTTCCTTATGGTGGGGACCCCATCGTAGCCAGGGCTGCATTCTTGGCCTGAGGTGGCTTTTCCAAGTGACAGCATTTTCATAGTACTCATGTTATCAGGAGACATCTCATGGCAAACTTCTATGCAGCAGTATCTTAAAAACCACCTACTCTTGTAGTCGTCTTCTGACAAAAATGAGAAGCATGAACTCTGCAGGGGAATGGGTTCAGCGTCGTTTGCTTTTACAAAATTTTCCTTAATAGTTTCTAGAGCTTCTTCAGAGTTGTAGCCCTCTGAAATTAATCCCTGGGTCACTACAATACTCTTTCAGCATCCAGATGAAAGCTGTTCCGTGTTCTTGCATGTTCCCAATGACCTGTTCCAAAAGTGCAAATAAAAACCTGTAGGCCTTTGGTTGCCCCCCATGAGAAAGTACCAAAATCAATGCCATAGTGATTGTGTTCAGATGTCCCTTGCATAAAGGCTTGTGACTGGTTTAGATTCAGTTTCATATTTTGACTGGTGAGATAACTGAGTGTTGGCTTCTTGTGCCCATGGAACAACTGACTGGTATTTCTGGGCATGAAAGTCATCCCCAAGTGGCACTGGTAACAAGTGAAATCTGCTCCTGGTAGGAAGGCACTTCATCCAGCCCCTTTTTCTTGGCTCCTGAGGTGTGCTGGCAGCCCTAAGATTTTCTGTGGCCAGACAAGTGCAACTGGTAGGTCAGGAAAAAAAACTCTAAATCACCAACTTTCTTAGTGGTTTGTTTGTTTGTTTGTTTGTTTTCCAATTGCTCATTTTCTCATGATCTTTTTCTCTTTGGTTCTAGGGGATTACTCCCACAGCTGCATTGCCAGAGAGTGGTTCATCCCTGGCCTTACGAGCCCTAGGGTGGGGCTCACTCTATGCATGGTGCGGAGTTGGATTGCTGAGTTTTGCCATCTGGAAGGCTCTGGGCGTGCACAGCGTGAGTAGCAATTATGATTCCCTCAGCTCCATATTTTTCCTTGGGTAATGCATCTTGGGATGGCATCTCTATACTACTTTAGCCTAAGAATTACACGTTCATTCACCACCTGTAGAATGACTAACCAGAAAGTGTGCAAACAGGAAAGGTATTCTTATATCTGCAAAAAATGGCATGCTATGGGAGGAGACAGTTTAGGGGGAGGAACAGTTTTGTTCCACTTTATGTTTATTTGCACAGATGTTTCAGATACCACACAAAAGAGCCAGTGTTCTAATTTAGAGACTTAAACAGTAGCTGCAAACTTTCTATATCCTTTGCTTATTGAACTGAAGGCTACCCTCCTGAATCCTATTTTTAGAGCAATACATTTATTTGTCCAAGTTCTATTTTTTTGCATCAGGGCACAGAGGATGTAAGAAAAACTAAAAGGAAGCCAGCCTGCTTTCTAGAAGTGGCAAGGGGACAGAAGACTGAGTATCCTGTGCATTAGAATGGTGGTCCTTGACATGTCACGTCAAGGCAAAGAAGCTCGGGAAGCATTTGTATATCCCAGGATACCAGCTATGGCTATCTTTAGTAATTTGATTATGTTCCAGTATTTCACAATGTTGAATGTGAGCACTTAAGTTCATGTGAGCATTTTTGTTTGCCCCTAGTAATGAGCCATGACTTTAAAAGAGTCCCTTGCAGCTGTAGGTGTGGGAGAGTTGTTTGCATCCTCTTTAGGACTAGGAATGAATAACTTCCTTTATTTTACGTGGCAATTATTTACATATTCAGCAAAGCATATGTAAAGGAGAAAGGTGATCCTACTTTGTCTTAGTACTGTTCTCATTAATACCTTTAATCAAGTTCTCATTTCTTATCTACTCTTGTGATGTATCCTGTACCTCATAATTTGAGTCCCAAATACAGCATTACACAATCCTTTATTTCTTAGCTTTCAATGTTGATTCTCAGTAGGAACAGATAAAGGAAGGCTGAACACCAAAAAAGTGTGGTAGGACATAGGAGGCAGCTACAACACATTTTGTTTAAACAGAATCCTCCATGTGCAGCTGTGGTGGAATGTCAGGGAAGGGGGAGGAAGAGTGGGAGTTTATACTGTCAGCATGCTGAGCTACAACAATTCACTCAGTTTGCTGGCAGTCGGGTCACCAGTCACAAGGGCTCATTTCACACCGTACTGCCAGTTCTGATTTCTCATTCTGAGTGTCTGGTCCTGCTGAAGGACAGCAGAGTCTGACCCTAGTCTGCAATTTATGTTATCTGTTTCTTGGTCAGCTTAATTTTTACTTCCTTGAGAAGTACTGTCCTAGACCCACTTACTTGGTTTCCCTATGAGGCTTTTCTTGAGGCTGCCTGCCAGGGAGCACTCACAAAAGCTTGAAAAGGCCGAGCCCCAGCATGTGTCCGAGTCTCGTGGGGCTTCTGACAGCAAGGACTCCTGTGTCAGAAGCAAACCACAAGCATTTTAGAGAATTGTTGAGTGGTCCTGGTCAGAAAGGTGCATCTTATTAGGGTAATATATAAGTGTTTAATGGCACTCGAGTCATCTGAAAGTTAAAGTACCAAAAGTCTCAGTGGAAAATGGGATGTGATGGATTGGCAGAAGTCACACCAAAAGGAATCCCAGAGCCAGCAGATCTTGGCGCGGGACTGGCGTGGCCAGGGAGGCCATGGGGGAGTTCTCGTCCTGGCCGGCCTGCAGCACATCGGGGCAGGGCTGGCTGGGCCGGAGAAGGAGAGCAGAGCTGGTCACTGAGTGCAGTGCTCGGTGTGCTCGGTGCTTTTCGTGCCTCGAACGCTGCCCACGCCGGCCGCGCCCCGGCGAGAAGGCAGTGGAATGTACGGTCCATGTCACCGGGCGGCCCTGATCCTTGTGCCACGTGCCGGGAATGCGGCCCGGCCCGGCAGGAAGCGTGGCGAGCCTCCCCCGCACAGCCGCGGGGCAGAACCGAGCCGGGCAGGCGCTGCTGCGCCCCAGCCCCGCTTGGCTTCGCGCTTGGCGCTGCTGCCCCGCTCCCGGCTCGGAGCTGCCCCGCAGCGACGCCCGGTGGCGCCGGCCGGAACTGCAGCGCCGGCGCGGCCTCCGCCGGCTCATCCCTGCGCCCGGGAGTGCGGGACGTGTGCCGCAGCCGGCCGGGCTTTAGGAGAGCCGGGCTGCGCCGCCGAGCCGGGCTGCCCCCAGGCACAGCCCAGCAGAGCGGCCTCACTGGCCATCGCTGCCAAAATGCTTCTGATATTTCCTGTGAGCGTGAATTATTGATGGGACAGCGTGTGATTGATAAAGTATGTAGTACCCTAAGCTTTGTGGTTGTTTTAAATTATCTTGTTATCGCTCCCAAAGTCAAAGATGAAACAAGAGCAAAATGGAGTGATAGTTCCTTGAGTAGTTGTAATTTATCTGTGTCAGTGGCACGATTCCTCAGCAGTTTGTGTCATGGAAGGAAACTGAAGCCACAGTTCAGGATGCCTCATCCTCACACCTTCTGAGACAGCCTGCGTTTGCCCTAGAAGCCAGTTGTTAAGATTCCTTCCAGATACTGAAGTGATGCATCAGATTTGGTGATTCTAGATTTTTGTTTAATCTTTGTGGTTTATTAATTCTTTAAACAGTGCTGTGACAATGCCTGCTTCCAGCTCTTAAATGGTTTTATTGTTAAAGGTGGTTCCCTATAGTTTTACAGTCTGCTGTTTTTATGCCAACATCAAAACCCAGGGGTGAGAATAAGTAACTGATCTTTATGTCTTGGTAAGGAATATAAAACATTTTACACTGTCTCAGGTTGTTAACATTCCCTGATTGCAGTTACCACTGCTGTAATCTGAGGACAGGCTGATAAGTAATAAACGCTACTAAATTCCACTCAATTTTTATTCTGAAATGAAGAATTGATGGTTCAATGAGGACTTTGTTTGATAATGGTTTAAGTTCTATTTCTCAGTAGCATAAAAGAAATCTTTTTTTAGAACCTAGGAGATGGTGCTTACATACTTTCATATTGCAGAAAATAATCAGGTGTCAGTGATAATCAGACTTTTAAACTTGCTTCCTGAAATCGCTTGGGAAAATATTTAAATTTGCAGCACCTTTGATTATCTCTGAGATAGAAACTCCATCTGTATTAGGGAGTGTTATTGACTGGCAGCACTGGCTGAGAGAGCAGGCTGAGGACCTGATATGTACAACCATTCCAGGAGTTTTCAAAATTAGGACTGACACTAGCCTTGCCCCATGGCTGTTGGCATGTTGGACTATGTTGTGTGCACTGCAAGAAAGCTTCTTCAGATTTGTGTCACCCTAAAAAACTGCTTGTCATGCATTTTGAGACTGTTCAGTAATTACACAGACTCATTCCTAGGGAGATTGGCTTCCAAAGAGCACTCCTGATCTGAATCTGAGACTCATCCAAACATACCTACAGCCTTCCTCTCTGAGGCACCTTACAATGTGGAAAGACACATGCCATGTTAAACACAAGCTTGAAATAAGTCTGGTTTGAAATAAAATGGCACCATTGTTTTTAACAAGTTTATTTGCTATTTAACAACTTCCACATCGTGATATTATCTTCTATGGCATTACCTTACTGGTTTTGAGCTTGCAACATCCAAACCATGTAGGTGGCCACTCCTGCTGCAGTGGGATGGCTTTTTGCTGATACAGAACACAGAAGTATTGAAATAAATTTTGTAGAAAAGGTTGGGTTTGGTTATCATTTCAGGTTTATTTTAAAGTTGAATAGTAGTTGAAACATCTTATTTCAACACTCTGTGTATGAGCTGTTCAATGAAATTTAAAATTTTCAGTTAAAGAATAGATGGCATTTCACTCAGTAAAAATTTTTAAAATTAAAATATGCGAAAGATCTTAAACCTGCTATTATTGCATTTGTACTAAACAAGTATTTCCATTGCAGTTTCCAAAAATTAAACCTTTTTTTACTTACCTATTCTGCTAGTCTTATGATCCACCACACTTTCTTATTACTGGGAAAAATTTTAGTGTCATAGAATCACAGAGTAACTAGGGTTGGAAGGGACCACTGGAGATCATGTAGTCCAATTCCCCTGACAAGGCAGGGTCACCTACAGCAGGTGATGGTTTTCTGTAAGTTTTCTAGAATTTTTTAGAAGTTAACTTTGGAGTTGTAAACCTTTCTTTTAAATTAAACTCACAGCTATAGAGTACTTGGCAGATATTAACAAACAGCAATTAATGTCTGATGTTATTTCTTTTTTTTCTTTTTTTTTTAAGCTGCCAGCAATTATGAACCTTCTTTTAAAAGCAGAACTATGCCCTCAGCCCTGGTAGAATGAAGTGTACAACAATTAACAAACAAGATAAATTATGCTTTAAAAGCCCTCTTGCTCTTCATGGCCTCAGTAAATTAGGTTTCATTTCCTCAAAAATAAAAGCATTCTCTGTCCCATAGGAAAAGGGCTAGGATGATTCATATGTAGGTTTGTGAGATCCTGATTGTTGCTGTTCTGTGGAAAGCTGGAAAAATATTAGAAGAATTGCTTAGCAATTTGTGACTAATATAAAATATTAGTTTATCACTTTTATGGTGTCTCCAAATGAAATATCCTGGTTTTCATTGATCTTAGCCTTTAAAATATTAGGAATCTAAAACAATTGCATGGCCATCTAAAACAATTAAAAGCAATGCAGAGAATATATGCTTGTTGTGGCTTTGATGGTAAGAACATTTCCTAAGTGAACTTCTTTTCTCCAGAAAAAAATCTAACCTCTGAATCACCATTTTAAGCATAAAAATAGCATCCCCCTGCTTGTGTCAAGAGATATTTGTTATAATTTTGTGAAAGTATAGTCATAGGCACAATATAAATACAAAGGAATATTTGCTTTAAGGATGGACTAAATTAAAACAGAAGATGAGAGCACAGAGTCATAGTCTTCAAATATGGCATCTGTAAATTGTACTAAATTTATAAATCCCAATGTAGGCATATTGCAGTGGCTGAAATTT